AATGTACAATTAGATTATAGAAAAGTAATCATAAGATTACAATATATATCGTTCTAAATTCCCATAATTTCATGAGGTCCATGATCTCAAATCAAAAGAAGTGTCAAACGGGTCGAGTCTATGTGTTTTAACGGAATAATTAATGCAACATAGAGATATGTCAACAAAACAATTTTTCAAGCAATACAAGTCTCACACAGTGACTTAATAGACAATTATATCAAAGAATCAATGGAAAACTATTACCAGTTAATTCAACATTTCAAACATGACAAATAATACCTAAATTTTAGCACAAGCAATATTATTCCACATGTAACCTCAATTCTAATGGTCAAGCCACACGATGGCCTGCTGTTACTGGAATTTAGAGAAATAAACTAATTTATCAAGCGGACCTAATTTACTTCTTTAGGGTTACCATTATTTGTCCTAAAGTTTCAACAAATGCAACAACATAATCAGTCGAAGATAAAAAATTGAACATCTAAGGGCAAATTGTCCAAGTTTATTGTATAACCTAAAATAGAAAACTAACAAAATCAAAGTGTTAGAAATAACGTAAGAAACAAATTGCCAGAAGTAATCTTTACTAGAAAATGCTAGACGTGCCTCCACAAGTCGCCAGAAGCCTATGTGCGTGTAACGCCCCAAATCCACTACACATTTTTTATAATATATTTTTTAAAGGATTTGAAGTTTTACCAAAATCTTTCTTTTATAATTTAAGCGGAATTTAAAACTAATGTATAAATTTTGGCATTTGATCGATAAATCAATAATGTGAATTCAACAATTCAAAATAAAAATTTGAATTTTATCTAGCTTAAAATACTATGAAGAAATTTGCCAATTTAACATGTTAAATAACTTAAATGTCAAAACTACTAAAATAACATGCTCGGAATTAAACATAAAATAAAATTACTCTTGAAATTTTTACTTGACGACTCCATAAGTATCACTCGGTTAATCTGCCACGAGTCCGCACGATCCGTTTTAATTTAAAAATTTAGTAAGAGTGAGTATTTTTGAAAAACACCAAGTAAGAAAAATGTGCATATTCTTATTAACATGATATAAATATAAAATGACATGACATACTGACATCTCTTAAATTTAGAGCAAACCGACTCAAGGAATTTCATAAGAATTCCTATATCCCATAGGATTTACATACTTGACCAAATGGTCTATCTCGTAGGATTTAACATAAAAATCGATCTGAAAGACTTAACGTATTTCATGCCAAAATCTATAAAATATCAAGAAAATAAGATTTATCACTTGCACAATTCTTACCTCAATTTGATATTAAATAAATCTGAAAAATGGTTTGTAAAATAAAATGATACTCTTCAAAATAGGGGGGGTGTGTGTACGTGAGAGTGACAAATTTCTGTGTATAGGAAAGTTTTCTCTCATATAATATTTAATTGTATTCACTTGTATTCTTATTTGTCACCTCAAATGTACAAATGTTACGTTGAATATTCAATTGATAAATTAATATATTATTTATTTCAATTTGACACGTCCTATCACGTCTAATGGCCGTCTGACGGTTGATTATTCAAAAAGAAAACGGACCAATTATTATATATATATATATAATTTTCTTTCTATCAAAATAATTCAGATGTAACGAGTTGAAAACTATTTTTTCTTGGGTCCAATTTATATTATTTAGTACGAGCTACCTAACGAGTATAATACTGATATATTTTATAAATTTCTATAATATTTAAATACTTGACCCTAAAAAAAAAGTTACGATAAATTTTGTAAAAAAAATATGCCTAAGACAATAAATCATTTTATGCAAATAGGTGGATTAAACTTATTATATTAACCTTTGGATCTTAGTGTGACAACAAGATTAGACATGGGCTATCTCATTTGTTAAATGACCGATATTAAGTTTAGTCCATACGAAAATATAATCAAGAGTCAGGGTGTTATAGTGTGTGGTTTTACGCCTCGTCACACATGCAACTCCACACTAGGATCTACCACCGGTTTATCCAACCGATAAGCAATTTGGATGGAAAACTCAATTGTAGGTTTGGTCAAATGATTTCCAAGCTTTTTGCCAAATTTTCAGATTCGTTTCTGGCTGAAATTTCACCATCTTGAAACTCTGATATCAATTGTCGTGGAAAAATGCTCAAAGATCTTTGATTTGATGAAATCGGGTTCAATTTCAACTGATCAATATCAAACCGCAATTAATCAAAGACTGAAACTCACAATTTTATGATTCACTTCGGTTGCTCTCCTTTTGCACATGCTTGGATACGATTATGGTGATGAGTTTGCATTCACAAATGAAGGAAAACAATGGAGGAACTGAATTATACTCAAGAGCACATAGAGATGGAGCAAAGAAAGACGATAGCCAAGTTTTCCAAGCAAACACACAAACGGTTCCAATAACCAGATGGAGGGAGTTTTATAGATTATAGAGAAATCAAATTGGGCCAAGACATAGAGTAAATGGGCCACAATTATAGGAGCCATCCAAGAAATTTTCATGGGCCATAAGCATATCAATTAATTTGTTTGCTTCTAATGGTACCGTTCAATTGATGTGTTGACAATAATTTCACTTATCAATCGAGGCTTATGAGATTTACTTCAAATAGTTTAATATCATTGCACGAAACTTATTGGGTATCTAAATCTATCATGGAGAATTGGGACCATCTGGGTGCCACCCCTATTAATTTTCGGGTGCATCAATTTTCAGCAAAGTAGTTATTCTCTCTTCATATTTATTCGTGCAACTATTTATGTATAAATAAACAAAATGGATAACGATTTGACATAGGATATGACCTTTAGTATGACTGTCCATGTGACTAATAAAATGAAATGATAAAATTTGTGATTTTCATTGTGCAGCCCCCCATGTTTTATGTAAATGTTATTTGGGGACCTCTAATATATTTGTCCATACTACTATTTGTGTACATTATATTAGTGGCCTATGTCAATGTCTTTATGACTTTGTTCTCCCTCTTACCTCGTGATGAATAAAAAAAATTGGTTGAATTTGGCGTATGTCTCATGCTCAATAGCAATTCAAGTGTGATCGGAAAAATATTAAATGTGACATCTATCTCTTTCCATTAACTCTGTGAAAATTACGATGTGAATAGAATTTGGAAATTAAATTTGATAAATTAATGTAAGTAGGGAAAAAGATTATAATTTAAGTATTTGATTGTTTTGTAATTAAGATTTCTATGCCGAGATGACTTCGATGGAAATGCAAAAATATATGGATATATTGCTACATAAAAGCGCAATGAAGAAGATAGAATGGTTGAAAAGGGGACAGGAATGAGAACAATGAATAATTCTAAATAAGAAGCTTGATCTTTCTCTCTCCACGTTATCTTTACACACGTTAGTCGAATTAGAAGAATTTATATTTTTAAAATTAAATTTCAAATAATATTATCCCATTTATTAGGATTCATGAAAATACAAAGTAAAATATTAATAGTAAATTAAAATTACTTATTTTTGATAATAAATACATTATTTTTGAAAAATTAAATATATGAGCTGCTGTGAAAAGGAAAATTAAAATACATGATTTAGTCTAGTTTTCTATATATATATATATATATATATAAAGGGTCTCCTGCTTGGCTAATTAGATTTGTTGTTTTGCAATTCCTAAAAAGAATAATCCTACCTAACATTATTAGTTTATGTGACTTTAAATGATAAAATTTAATAAAAGGTAAAATTAAGTAATTTATTTAATTATACCTTTAATTTAATATCACATTAATGTCACTGAGATTGATATCAGTGATGCTAAGTAGCATCACTTGCCTAAAAGTGCTTTGCATGGCCTATCTTGGGCTTCATTTCTGTCTTTACGTTATTGTTTGGGCCTTGATATATCTTTGTGTATTTAGCCCTTATCTGATGGTTATTATTGTATAAAAATGATATTTTAAATAGTGATTTTTTTGAGAATGTGTGATTAATAAGAAGGAAAAAAAAATTTGAGTTTACGTCCAAAATATTTTATTGTGTGAATCTGTGGTTGAAAATGAGTATGAAAAATAAATTATTTTGTTTTAAAGAAAATCAAACATTTGCTTAATTTGCCTTAACACCACTACAAACATTGACATACAAAATTAACACATCAATTAGATGTAACATTAAATCAACCATCGGATATCAATACACATCATAATCATAACTAATTATCATATCTTAATTCATCATCTAAATATAGAAAAACAATACTTCGATATTTAATAGTTGAAACGAAATATTAATATTTTGGGCTTATTTGTGGAGCTTTCGTTTTTGCTTCCTGTTATTGATTGTAGATTTTTTTTTTTTTTTTTGGAAATACTTACTTTAGGTCATTTTACTCCAAAAATTCTTCTAATTAGATAAAATACTTCTTAAAAAAAAAATTATATAAACACGTTCAAAAATAACTTTTAGTCTCAAAAGCAATTTTTAACTTTTTAAAAATCCCGTCGAATGAACCTTTACTAACTCAACTCAAACACACTAGACAACATCAATTAGTGTCGAGTTTTAATTTTCAACCAAATTATGCACACCTCTTTACTTGTTTAAGGTAATTCCGTTATTGTTCTTAACTCTAGACCTACTTTCGTTCTCAATAATTTCCATAAAAAGACTACCATAATTTTCGGACAAATCGAGGCAGAGTCCAGGCATGAAAAAACTTCAATATGATCCGATTGTTTCCAAGCATATATCTTCTACTGCTTATTCCAACATAGTTAAAGCAAGTTTGAAAGTCGTTAACAATATTGTTAAATTATGATAAATGGTGGATAAGTGGATGATATTCATGATTTTCCTAAATGTACGTGTCCAAAGTGCCAAATCGCTACTAAATTTGAGCACGGCCTCCAGAAATAAGTACTTGTGGCGAAATAAATCTTTTTCAGTTATTTTTAAGATTTGCTAACTCTACAGAAAAAATTTACGGTGCAAGACGCTCAAAAGAAAAATAAAATAAAATAAAATGTAGAGGAAAAATAAATTGACGACAATTTCAAAGCGTTCTTCTCGCGAAGCCTAGACAGTTTGTTGTCTGTTGGTTGTTGGTTGGTTGAAAAATCCCATAATTTTCTGTAATAAAAATTTACCGAATTTTTGCATCTGATCAAATTTTTAGTGAGAGAAAATCATAGTGAGAATCAGACGGACGGCCGATGGAGAAGGCGATGCCAGTAGATGGTGGAGATAGTTGCTGCATTGTAATAACGGTGGTTGATGGTGTTATTCTAATTCTTATGCTGCTCTTAATTATCATCCTCATCCTCATCGCCTGTAAATTCAAACCATGGCGCCGCTTCCTCTCCTCTTCCGCTGCCGCCAGATTCCGCCACCCCTCCTCGATCAAGGTCCAACCCACAAACCCCGTATATATATAACTGCATATGCATTTGATTGCGATCTGATTAGTGTAATCACTTTGATATATCTGTAGTTGATTTAATACCCTTTTAAATTAAGTGCTCATTTCTCGATGAATATGACTTTTTAAGTCATTTGTTTGGTGATTAGGTGTTAATTGATAAGTTACAATTCTTCTTTTTTTTTTTTTTTTTTTTTTTTTGTGATTATTATTATTATTTTTGTTAGTGTCGTTATGTAAATTTTTTGGGTCCTGTTGGATTATATTTCATTTTCTTTTCCTGATAAATTGGATTATAGAATTGATTAAGTAATCAGTTTTTACCGAAAAATATCAAGAAATGAATTGGATTAAAATAAGTTCGATGTTTAAGGGGACTTGTACTAATGGGGCATTTGAAGGATTTTTATCTAGTAGTTTCTCTTTGGTGTAAATTGTAAAATAGCTAGGGTTTGAAACATATGAAATGACTAAGAACTCATTATAACTAAGCTGCTACAAATTTCGTAAATTGTTGGTTGTCTTTTTATTTTATGTTTGCATAGTTTGTATTGTTGTGTTCCTTTTTTCAACCCAGTAATCTGTTTTGCCTTTTGGTGGGAATTGTTCTATTTACTGTTTAGTGCATCAACCTTTGGCTTTGATTTTGAAAAACCGATCATATCATTCTAGTTATATGACTTGTTAAATGGTGTGACTAAAAGAGGATAGCATACAGACTGCCTGCTTGCACTTTTAAATTTTTTCCTGTAGGTTTTTAAGCTCCCAATTTCTGTTAAGACCCTTTTGGTTTGTATGTGCCAATTCTTCTTTGGCATGTCTAGTTATCTTCTGCAATTTCTAAAGATGAGTGACTTTTTTCTCAATCTTCCGAACCATTTCGCATTCTTTTCTTCCCCAGCTTGTTTTCGTAAAGCTTTTCCTTTTTTCAAAATGTGAGTTTTAGATGGATTAAATTATGAATTTTTTATGTATTATGAAAACATAAAATTTAAGAACTTGTGGGGGTTGATAATGATGGTGTTTTGATGGTTTTTGTTATAGTGTCCTTTTGGAGTTAGATAAGCTAGGGCTTTGTGAGTCAAATGGGCTCTGTAAGTTCTAAAGTCCGTTTGTCATTTTTATTTTTATTTATTTATTTATTTTTTTGTGTAGTTCATTTGTGATGTGTGTTTCATTTTTAACCGACAAATTTGTTTTTCTCTTCAGAGTCAAATGTTAGTTTCACTAGTTTTTTAGCATTTGATTTGGTATTAGTCTCCTGTTTCAATAGTTAATAATGGAATCTTCTTGAGGATTTTTAACCATGAATGGAAATGGAAAAGATGGAGAATTTTCATATGGTGTAGAGTTGTGGAAGTTTTCTTGCTTCTTTTTATGCCTCTTTGTACCGTCATATTATAAAATTCGACATTATTGAGTTGCTTAGATCATCATAATATGTTGATAGTTTGTTAAGTAAATAGAATTGGCTATGTTTTGCATCTGACGTTGATATAATGGTGATAGTTTGTTAAGTAAATAGAATTGGCTATGTTTTGCATCTGACGTTGAGCTCATTTCCTGCTATCATAATTCATGTGTCAGTTTTGGTCTTTTGCTTGTGCTATTTTTTCTTTCTGCATGCATCCTCTTTACGCTGTCATTTGCATAGGTTGATGACATAGAGAGGTCTCTTATCTCGGAAGATTATGACGTAGATGAAAGCCAGATCTGTGAGTCCACTAGTTACTCCATTGAGGGGGGTGGCCGTGGAACTAAGGCAGGATTTGTGCCACCCCATTCTAACAGAGTAACACATAAACAAAGGCTCTTGCCGACGTCTCCCCAGCTGACACATAGTACATAACAGCTCCCACTTTCCTTGATCATTTATGATTCTTGTGTAAATGTAGCTTGCATCTGACTCTTTAGGAAATACGAAATCTTATTCTTTGCTGGTTCCAGGTGATAGCTTTGTTCTTGACATTTCAAATATTTCGGAGGATTCTTTTGTTGGTCAGACTCTTAAGCCTCCACTTGCAGCAAGTAAGTTAGCCGAAGATCGGATATATGAGAAGGAAGATGTTAAGTATAGCCCAAAATGTGCAGATGCGAACATTTCCAGTGAGCTCATTCCAAAATATACTGCAAATAAGAGTAATTTTCTTCTGCACTGTTAAATGAGCTGTAACGTTCTTTGCTTGGCAAAATTTGTAAAACATGTCATCATATTTTTCTTTTAGAAGTGCAGGAAGCATTCTCATGCTGGAGGTAATCTCAGGACCTTCTCGTGGTCTCCTTTATTCCATAGAATCAACGAATACGTCCAATCTTCCAGTGACTGTTGGAAGAGTTTCACCTGGTGACATATTGTTGAAGGACTCTGAGGTCTCAGGCAAGCATGCAATGATAAATTGGAATGTAAACGTAAGCTTAGAACTTAAATATAATATGTAGTGAATTATGCTCTCTGCTTCATGGTATTAACTTCCTATTGTTGTAGAACTTGAACTGGGAACTTGTTGACATTGGTAGCTTGAATGGTACGCTACTGAATTCCCAGGCAGTGCACCATACTCAATCTGGAAGCAGACATTGGGGCAATCCAGTTGAGCTCTCAAGTGGAGATATAATAACTTTTGGCACAACTTCAAAGATTCTTGTAAGTTGATGTGCTTTTTTTAGCTTGGCTTTTATAAGTGTTCTGCTATCGAACAATGTATTTTCCATGGCCTTTGCACTTTCCAGAAAACATTAGATTTACAATGCCTTACTGGTTAGTCACAGTCATCATCTAATGATTTGCAATTCATCAAAGCTAGTTTACTTGGGTAAGAACACAGAATACATTTGGGCTCTGGGTGTTTGTTCAGAATTGTGATGTATGAGATGTTCGTACAACTTCTCATCATATATGATTAGAATTATGTGTACCAGAATAGGTCTTCCTGAATATTTACCTTGCCATTAGCTCATTTAGAGTTCATGTTGGCTTATTTATCTTTCTAGAATATGACCTAGTAAAATTTATTTTAATTTGTTCATCTATCATGGGAGACACTTCTTTTGCACCTTGTTATTTAATGCACGTGCATTCTACTATTCTAACTACACAGGTTAGTTAGACACTTGACTCTATGAGGATTATAGGATGCGTGTGGCGACCTGGATCCTTAGAGATCTGAGTGCCACTAATTCGTAAATTAAAACTAATTTAAAGGGTGTTCAAATTGTAAATGAATATATTGACACGAATAATTCAAATGATACTGTGAGTTCAATAAAATTAACTTGAAGGTAGAAATATCTTTAAAAAATTAGAACCAAATAAAATAACACTGGTTTGATAGAATAATAATAATTTATTATCGAAACCCTTGCCATCATAAGTTATCTTTGTGCCGATTGTCTTGAACCATCATTTATCTAGAGGGGGAAACATAAAGGAGAGAATAAATCTCAATAAGCGTGCGTGGATAATTAATCATATATGTATATCTACGAAAAAATTCATAATTTCATAGGGATACATGAAAATAGACCGAACATAGATGGTGCTAAATTCTCGTACGTAGTGCGACCAAAGTTCGGTCCATTTTGAATAAATTATACGTAATATGGAACAAAACATAACATATAGCCATAGAAATATTACGTACAACGACATTAGCCACCATAAATATAAAACACAACTTATTTATTTCGTGAGATTAATCAAATGATGAAGAAAATTTGCTGATCAGATTTCAGTGGGTTGACATGGGTTCTCTCTCCTAATATGACACAATAAATGAAAAGAGTTATGATTGATTGGTGTCCTGTTTTCTTTCCAAATTCCAATACAAGTTTGCATGTGGAATCAATTTACAATTATTCCAATTTTCTCTCCAATCACATGTCAAGCTTGAAGGAAAATGGTTGTCAATAATTTGTCATTTAAGTGGACCTCACAAAAAGAATCATAGTTTGTTAAACACAAAATTGATGACATTTACCAATTTAAGACATACTACACTTACAAGAGATCAAAGCATGCATGCATCCTGTGGACTCAAATTATTACTTAAAAAGTACATGTTATAATTCTATATAGGTCATTTATGTTAAGCTCATATTGATTCTTGATTCATTTGAATTTATATTTCTTTATCGATACCTGATTCATGTGAATTTATATTTCTTCATCCTTTTATATTTTATTAATTAGGGGCTACATCTTAAGACTAATATTGATATAAATTACTTTTCAACATAACCCGACTAAGATTATTCTTGAATAATTGTACTTAAATCTCCAAACTATTGGGCAACAACCAATTGGTTCCCTAAAATTTTAAGTTGTGCAACTAAGTCTCAAATTCCAAATTAAAGGCTAGTAATAAAAATTTGGGGCGTTACAATGTGTGCCTGATAGTTACACAGGACCCATACTCAGGAACTATATGGAAGATGCTCTTGATGTTGCTTGCATTAAGTCCTCCTCCTCTAGTCTACCGCAATGTATGCACCCTCCACTTGTTAGCGAATATTACCACTTCTTATCTTATTTATTCTAGTATGGTCACACATCCATCTCAACATCTTCAAGTCTGCTACGTTCATCTAAGGAACATTCAAACCTTTAACAGCCAAACGCTTATTTACATAAAAGCACAATATGTCTAAAAACAGACAAAGTGCACCATTTTGATTCATGATCAATGATTTGCTACTGTATATTTTGCATTCTTTGCACAAAAGTTCACCTTTGCCTTTCTTTATTTGTTGCTGCAGGTCCAGATAACCGCTCAAACAGAGAACCAGATCCCTTTTGGGATTGGTATAGCATCAGATCCCATGGCCATGCGACGGGGAGGAAAAAAGTTGCCCATGGAAGATATCTGCTATTACCAGTGGCCTCTTCCTGGAACTGATCAGGTTTCCAAATTGAATCTTGTCTTGGTGTGTGTGCTAACTGAAATGGCTATTAGGTTATTCAATTATTGCATTGCAGTTTGGATTCTTTGGCATATGTGATGGACATGGTGGAGCAGATGCGGCCACATCAGTTAGCAAGTTAGTGGCTCATCTCCTGTGACTTGAATTGCTTAATCACCCATAATAGGTCTATTTCAACCTCCCCATCAGTTAGCAAGTTAGGAGAAAGATTGACATTTTTCCTTGTCATAAATACTACTCCGCACGATGAAAATTGTGGATTCACGCTATGTATGGAATTGTAGCTGTTAAACTTTAGTTGCTATAATCAGAATCATATTTTGGTCTGCATCTTTTGTTCATGCTTCATGTCATTTTTAATTCTTTGGATCTTTTAGTTGATATCGAATATTTTACTTTTTTTTGTGAACCATAAAACATCATCATGACTATTCTTATGTTATTTATTCTCATTTCTTATCTAACTTTTATCCTAGAGTAATGCCGGAAGTTATTGCTAGCATCCTGTCGGATTCATTCAGGAGAGAGAAGGTTTTATCTGAGTGTGACGCTTCTGATGTCCTTAGGGAAGCATTTTCTCAAACAGAAGCAAGCATTAATCATTACTATGAGGTTTTTTACTTGATATTTCTTCCAGATTTGTGCGTTGCTGCAAGTGGATAACTATCATTTTCAATTCCTTGTCACATTTTGAAATGACTTTTTAAGATTAGTCCATGGATATAAGTGCTTGTTTGGGAGGTGATTATAATTGTTTTATATTATTATAAGTAGATATAAGTAAATGGTGGATAAGTGAGTAGTACTTGTGGGTCCCATGAAATGTTTGTAAAGAGTAGGTTTGACCTAAAGTGTTTGTAATTTAAACACCTCCCAAACAAGCGCTAATTATTTCTCTAACATCTTCACTGCCCAGCTTAGGGTTAAGTGATGGCTGAAAATGGTGTCACAGACTTTAGGAAAGCAAACATGTAAAACTTCACTCTTCAGACTCTTCTTTCTGTAGAAATGCAGACATGAGAGATGGGGACGTTATTATCTGGCAAAGCAAGATGGCTTTTTGAAAATTTGAAAACAGAGATGTATGGAATACGTGGAGTGCTACTTTTCTTTTCAGTAAGGGAAGATTTATTCACTTATGAATAGATTATCATTTCAAAGGACCTACCATCTTATTTAGTCAGATTACAAAAGTGAGATACAATATGTAAGGATAGAGCATAATTTTGAATGAAAAGGAAAACATCATTCTTCAAATAACTGAAAGGTCACTGAAGTTTGAACACAATATGCCCTTCCCACCTAATTAAGATGGGGACTGATGATCATAAAAAGTGGGAAAAACTGATCACAATTTACACGTGAGCAACATTATCATGAGTTGCAAATTAAAAATTAAAAAGAGGAGAAATATATACATTTCTTTCATCCCCTATTTGTTTATTATTGTTAAATTAGAAACTTAATTTGATCATTACATTGAATTTTCATCTGTCTAACAAATTATGCAAAAGATAAAAAATATTTTTTGCTTCAGTTTCTAGTTTACTAATGTCTCTTTTATGATATGTTTTAAAGCTGTACAATGTCATGTAATAATTAAAATCTATCAGGGTTGTACTGCAACAGTGCTTCTGGTTTGGGCTGATGGTCATGAAAAATTCTTTGCGCAATGTGCTAATGTTGGAGACTCCGCTTGTGTTGTAAAGTACGTGATGATATTTATCATTCTTATGCTTTGATGTATTCTGAAAAAAAAAATATCAGCTTAAGATCCAACTGTGATATTTCCACTGGATGTCATTTAGGCATCACTCTCTCTCATTCTTGAGTAATTGTGCTTAATTTCAATTGATGCATTTTTTGTTCTCATCCAGTGTAGTTTTTCTTATGAGTACCTGTTTCAACTTTTATTTTTGCAGCATTGAAGGGAAGCTGATAAAGATGACAGAAGACCATAGATTAGTCAGTTATTCTGAAAGACTTCGTTTTCAAGAAATGGGAGAACCTTTGAAAGATGGGGAATCACGAATATGCGGTGATTAAGATCTTATGTTGTGTTTGATTTTTTCATTGAATGTCATTTGTATTCTAACTAAATATTTTGTTTCCCATAAGGTATAAACCTTGCCAGGATGCTTGGAGACAAATTTTTGAAGCAGCAGGATGCTCGCTTTAGTTCAGAACCTTATATAAGTGAAGTTGTATCTATAAACCAAGAAAGCAGGGGTTTCGCACTATTAGCTAGGTGATTTTTCTTTGACGCGTCATGTTCTTGCTGAAGTGTAAATCATGTTTCATTTTAGTCTCTTGCTAAGGTATATGCTTATTTATTCTCAACAATTAAAAGACCCCCCCACTTCAGTTTGCTGTCTTCGTGGACGGACCTTAAATGGACTTTGGAACAGATTCAGTCACGTTCCATTGTTTCAATATCGTCTTCTCTTTCTCTCAGTCTCTCTATGGTTGGGAGTGGAAAAATTATGTATTCATATTGTTTATATCAGAGTTAGGTGGCAGCGTCTTTATTGACACGGGTTTTGATGGATGCTCCTGTTTCTTGAGATGATCCAAAGTGAGCCTGCTTTTGTAGCGCGAAACACCTCCCCACCCCCTTTTGTGTCCATGCACGAGTGCTTGTGAGAGGTGTAAAAGCATACTCTATATGGTATTCCCGTAATGTAAGGGTATGTTATCACGGTGTATTTCTGTTTTCCGACGCAGTGATGGCTTCTGGGATGTCGTTAATTTCAAGAAGGCGGTTCAGCTTGTGCAGCAAGTAATTACCTACAATCGCTGTTTATTATGTGCATTGATTCGAGAAGTTGGTAGCTAATCTTATTCTCACATCATATTTGGTATTGTACAGACAATGGAGAGAAATGTCATGGATCAAGACAATTCGGCAGAAAAGATGGCAAATATTTTGTTGAGTGAGGCAAGATCCCTACGTACCAAGGACAATACATCTATAATTTTCTTAGATTTCAATGTCATCGATAGAATCAGTTCTTGTAAACTCGATCCGTAGGACATGTCACTCAGTTTATCTATACAAATTTTATGTCCAAATTAGCTTGCTTGTATGGATTGTATAGCACCACCAGTCCACCACCAATCGCTACCTGAAACCATCACTTTTCCCCCCCCCCCCCCACCCCAAACACACACTTTTTTATTTTTATTTTTTATTTGGGTTTCAATTTGGCAATAAAGTAGATAAATGCATCCCCATATCATGATGTTGTATGGGGATGTTGCTAGTGTTTGATGGAAATCAGGGAAAAAAACTGCTAGTTTACTACAACAGGTTCGGTTCACCTGGTTTATTATCCGAGTGTAGTAATCATATTAATTCTCGATTTTTCTAGTTGAATCGACTGATCTAACCAGCTTCTTATAACACTGTTTATTAAAAGGGGGCACCTTTTTCGTTTAAGTATCTTCTCTTTAAAATAACTATGAATTTAGATGAACAAGTGTTTATCTATGATTGAATAGTAATGGATCCCATGAATTGTGTGGATAATAATTATGAATGTAGGATTGAAATTAATATTTGACTTTGATTAAATTTATAAATCAATTTATTAATTGAATTCAAAAGGAGATTGAGTTTCTTACAAGAAGTCACAATTTGAATATGATTTATAAGTTGATTCATAAATTCAGTAGAATTAAAACGTTTATTTCAATCACACATTTTCAATTGTTATTCATTAGTATCCACATCAAGGGCATACCTACTTGAGGCCCAGTGTGGTCGACCATCCCTACTCGATTTTCAAATTTTCTACAAATTTTTTTCGATTTTCAGATTTTTTTCTCTAGGTTTTTGGATTTTGACCATAAGGTTTTTTAGTTCCGTCCCTACTGGACTTTCATTCTAAGTCCGCCCCCTATTCACATATTTCTTAAAAACTCACTGTTATTCCTAATAGATATTATAACCTATTTATAAATTTGTTAATTGGAGGCTTAGTTTTCATTTCTCTTATGTACTTAAATAACTCTAGAAAATTTCATTTTTTCTATGCTAATGCATTATTTTTTGAACAAATTCGAAAGAATATAAGATATTAAGATGTACTCCAATCCGACCCATCCTAGTAGAGATATCAATAGATAGCGGGGGTATGGATCTAAATTTTGAAAACTAGTAAGAAATAGTGTAAGCTACGAACTAACGTATTGAGAATGAGTAAAAATACAAGCGGTGAACAAAATTTCATGTTACCTAAATTTTGGTTGAATTCATTAATGGTTATTCAACTTTATATGTAGTGTCACTATGACTATTTAATTTGATTTTATTCCACCATGTCACCCAACTCTATATTTAGCCTCTGTTTGGTAGCAATTTTTCACCAAAAAAAATTAAATTTTTAACTGTTATTTTACTATTTCAGCTGTCATTTTTGATTTCTTTACTCATAGGTGGGATATACTTTTCTCTCTAATAGTAAAAAAGACCAATTCTCATAATCTCTACTGAACAGGTCTTTAGTGTCACTATGGCCATTCAATTTTATTTTATTTTACCATGGTCACCTAATTTCATATAAAGTTTCATCATCGCTACCCAACCTTCTTGTTTTTTCATTAATTTTAAAAAGGGTAAAATGGTAACTTTGTATTATATATAAAAAATTAATTAAAAACAAAATATATTTTAAAAAAAACATTTTTTAAAATAAGTTTTTTTTATTTTATTTTTCTAATTAACATTTTTTAAAATTAGTTTTTATTTTTTAAAAACAATTTTTTTATAAAAAAAATGAGTTTTTATTTTATTTTATTTGTTTAAGTAACTTTTTTTTTTCAAAATAAGTTTTTATTTTTTTAGAGTAACGTTTCTTCAAATACCTTTTTTTTAATTATTTATAAAAGTAAATTTTTATTTTATTATTTTTTAAATTTATTTATTTTTATATATAATGCAAAGTTATCATTTTACCCATTTGAAAATTAGTGAAAATGGTGAAAAGAAATTGGATGATCATGGTGAAACATTAGATGAAATTAGTGGTTATGATAAAATAAAATCAAATTGGTTGGTCATAGTGATACTAAGTGTAAAGTTGAGTGATTATGATGAAATAAATTCAAATTGAATGGCCATAACGACACTAAGGGTATGTTTGATTGGTTAATTTTTTCCATGAAAATGGAATTTACCTTACATTTTCCAACTTTTAATTGTTTGATAGGGTTTAGTTTTCCATGGAATTTAGATTCTTCATTTTATTGAGAAGTGCTATTTTCTTGCTTTTGTGGGAATTGATTTTCCCGGTTACTGTTTACTCAATTTTTTTTTTTTTTTTTTGTGCAATGGAAACAAATTTTTAGAATTATTGTAAAAAAAATATTTCCTTTTAATTGATAATTTTAATGTAAAACAAAGCCAAACGAACACCAAAAGATATATGATTTTCTTGATTTTTTTTGTTGGTAATGGAAACAAATTTCATTCCTAATACCAATAAAGTCGATCTCTTTAATTGACAATTTTCATATAAAACAAAGCCAAACGAACATAAAAAACACTTTTATTTCAACATTTTCCACCTGAAAAATTATATCAATCAAACACAATAATTTACAATTCTCAGAAAAATAATTTCTAGACAATTTAATTCCCTGAAATTCGTTTTCAATTCAATTTAACTTCATCTTTGCTATTAAACAGACTCTATATGTAAAGATGGAAGGCTATTGGTGGATTTAACCCCCTAAATGTTATTAAAATTATACTTTATTTTAAGTTGGTCATTGTACTTAAATGTTTGTTTGGTCACTCCATACATTTTCTGAGAGTTAAGAGTTACAAAAAATAACACAACAAACGGTAGCCTAATTGGCAAATAATTAATTTGTCACGTCACTTTTTAAAATTAGTTAATATAGAGACGGACCAACTTGGAATAAAATTTAAATTTGGTGACTAACTTAAAGTAAAATAAAAATAAGAGGCTAACATACAATTTAACTAAAAATTGGTAACTACTAGTGTATTTAACAGTGTTGACGGCCCTTCTCTGAAACCCTAAAAAAACCCAATCACTCGAAAGATTAAGATGGCGAAGAAAAAACGGAGAGAAATTGAAGAAGAAACCAACAACGGAGCACAAAATGATGTGTCCATTGCAAATGGCGATTTTGAATCTCACGAGAAGCATCCAAAAGAGAAGAAGAAACACAGAGAAAAAGAGAAAGCACGGAAAAAAGATACCGTATCTTTACAAAAGGAAATGTCCACCGTAAGCATTGCTGTTCCTGGGTCCATTATCAATAACGCTCAGTCCTTTGAACTCGCGACCCGGGTACTTTCTATTTGTCTCATACCTGTGAAAAATGTATTTCTTTTTAAGAAATGGAAAGGTTCTGGTTTGTACATATTGGCGTATTGTTTGTTGATTGGGTTATACGTTAAGAAGTGTGGAACTCTGAATCAATTAATGCAAGGGTATTGGCTTTTCTGTTGCAGTAGAAAACTAAATGCGTCTTTTTTCTTAGAAAAGAGATCTCCTGTCTGTGAAGTGCTTGATAATTGGACAATGTAAGCAAAATACTAAATTTGAATTCATTGTTTAAAGTTTCTTGTGATGAGATTTGCATTTAGTTTGAGATATGCAATAAGAAAGTGCAAGTTTTTCAATAGAAAGAATTTTTGCGTGTTTAAGTGGTTCATAATTTGAAAATGCGAGGAAAAGATTCAGACTGAAACTGATTAATTAGAGTTTTTCAGTTGTTTACTTTGAACTGGGTTTTGCACATTGTTTTGAATTATCATATAACAACTGGCAATGGTTTTTTGTCTTTAGGTTCTAGCTGAAGTTCTTTTTTCGATGATCTCTGCTAATGTTCATTTTTTCCCCAACAGTTGGCTGGTCAGATTGCTCGTGCTGCCACCATTTTTCGAATTGATGAGGTTCCTTTTGTTATAGTTACTTCTTTTAATATGAGTTTATAAGTGGAAAGTACTATTCTTTATTGGTATATGTTACTCTTTTCTATGAATCTTATTAGGGGTGGACTTTTGTGAGTTTGGTTCACTTGGAAAATTTGTTGTTGCATATCAGAAGTCTAGTAAAGAACGATAGAAATTTGTACTAGGTGCGTTGAATTGTTCAGCTTCCTTAATCCTTGAGTTATCAACAACTCTTAAATCTGACAGAAAGGAGGCTTTGAAGATGGGTGATTAGCCTTTAACGTTTAATAGCTTCATAAGATGCAATTTTTGTCATGGTTATGGTTTGAGCATTTTAGGTATCTGCGGGTGCCTGTCATGTCACATGTATAGATATTAGATATGTAGTTAGCTGTTGAATTTGTTTAATTTTACAAAGAAATCATCAGTAGGTTTTTGTGCTTGTTTAAACAGGTTGTTGTATTTGACAACAAGAGTACATTGGAGGATGATTCAACTCATATGGTGGAGAACAATACAGATGAGGACGAGACTGGTGCTGCTTTTCTAATCAGAATCTTGAGTTATCTTGAGACACCACAGTATCTCAGGAAGGGTCTTTTCGCTAAGCATAACAGTTTAAGATTTGTGGTGCGAACCTGATATTTGTTTCCTAATCTGCGTGAAAATAATATATGTGTTAATACTCGATTTATTCTTTGTTCTTGTTTTTTGTGCAGGGTCTATTGCCCCCACTTGATGCCCCACACCATTTGCGTAAGCATGAATGGGCTTCATACAGGGAAGGTAGAACCCCAAATCTATTGGTTGTAGTTATTCATGTGCACTATTTCTGTTCAATTGTTTTATACTGGGTTTTAAAAAATGGTTTTTTATAATTTATACAAGCTTATGTTTGTTATTTAAATACCTTTTTTTTTTTAAGGAAAATTTATATCTGTTGAATGTTGAGCGTTCTCACTGCATCTCTAGGCTTACACCTCTAACTTACCTCGCTATCTGAACTGGCCTTTTCTAAATACTAGAGGTGTAAGGTTGGGTGGCCCAACCTATTTGACAGCTTACACTTGATCACTAAACTTTAGGTAAAGTTTCCTGTTGACCATATGAATTGTATATGCCATGACTTCCCACGCCAATTGGAAATGTGTCAAGAACTAAGTTATGCCATTTCTGTATTTAAGTTTTTGCATGACCACACACACAGACATGTCTTTATATGATATTCATTTTTTAAAGCAATTTATATATTATTATTCAAGCATATATTTATGTAGCATTTATAAGATTGGTGCAGAGTTTGGCACGCGATGTTTTACACTTGATCATTGAACTTCAACAAGTTTCATGTCACTGGCACCACTGACTTTGCACCTAGAGTACTTTACCATGCATGCTTATTGTTGTTTCATATGGTTGGAGCAAAGTTTGGGCACATGATGGTTTACACTTGATCGCTGAACTTCAGGTAAGTTTCATGTTGACAATGTTTTGGCTGATGTCTCTGACTTTGCTTCTAAAGGAATTAATCCACCTTTGTATTCTATACTAGAAAGTTATAGTTATCTTAAATATTATTATAGCTTCCTTATATTTTTATATTTTTATTTTTTTTAGTTTTTGTCATAGATGACATTACTCTAGCTTTAATTACACTCTATCTTGGAGCCTATCCACTTCGATAGCATTACGATATCAACTCAATGAGTGGGAAGTCTCTTATGAAAGTCTACTCAGTCTTTTGCTAGGCATAAAGGTTTCTGAATGTTCCTCTCTGCCTCGTATGTTTTCAAAATCAAATAACTTTAAGTGTGATGTGAATGATCATCTAGAGGATCGTTCATGGAGAATTTAGGGTGGATACTACTTCATTGTGGTTGTATCATGTTAACATGAAAAGCTACTAACTAGTAGCTTCACATGAGCTTGTTTGAACTGGGTACTTTTTTTAAAGAAGTTATGGGTAAGTAGATTTGCCTGACCTATTTGATCTGGTACATTTTCTTTAAACTTTTATATCTTTCTTTTTCTAGGCATTACACTGAAAAATCAAGATCAAGGTTCTGTAGGGACGCTTGTTGACGTGGGGCTTAGCAAGGTTCGGTTTATTCTTGTTTCATGCAGTTGTTATTAATTGATTTGTTTGGATATTTCTTGTATAAACTTTATTTTTGGTTAACTTAGCAAGTCACAAGTGTTCCCTTTCCCATAATTGATATCTTCTCCTCTGATGTTCTTTGTGTAAGAAAATATTTTTCCTTTCCCTTGGTTGATTTCTTCCCCACTGATGATCATACAATTATGTGATGACATATTTTTCCTTTCCCTTGGTTGATTTCTTCCCCACTGATGATCATACAATTATGTGATGACCCTCTTCCAAATAATTTGGTTGTGGTGCCGTAACATTTTTCTCTATGAACCTTTTCCAATAATTTGGTTGTGTTGCTGTAACCTTTTTCTCCATTCTACGCAATGTACAGTGGGAGATATTAATGGATAAATAATAGGGGTTTGATATCTTCATTGAGTTTTAAATAGGCTGGTGGACATGCAGCCTGGTATCGGATGACATTGAGGATCCCATTGAAAACCTAACAGAATCCTAATTTCTGATTCTTGTCCCAATTAAGAACTAAAACTGGCCGAGCTGCAATTCCAGTTGCAGGATTAATAAAACAAAGGCCACTACTCACTCCAGACTGTTCATCATTTCCTTCTTGCTTTGTTTCCTAACTTTCCTCTCTTTAGTTTCTTTCAGTCGATGCTTAAGTTCGTTTTTCAAATTTTAATATACTTTATCACTTATCAATGAGACTACAAGGGAATGAAATACAAATGACATGCATCTCTATTAGATAACTATATACTTGTACAAGTTGAAGGAAATACATGCACGCATGACACGTCACTGACA